ATTTGTTTGGTGTATCATTCGCAACAAAAAAACGACGCAAGCCATCCGTAAACATTGAGACGTTTTTTTACGTTCATCGATACTTCTTGCATAATTGCCTCAATGATTCAGGACCAATGCTCGACGATTTCTTTGATCATATTTCATTGCAATCTTACCACACAACCAAGCCGCATATTCTAACGCTGAAACACGCTAATCCTGTTGATGTCCGTTCTCTTGCCATTCAGTGCACTGCACATGTGTGCGTAATTCTTGAGCACTTCATTAGCAATTGATTAATGAAGACGTTCTGTACGGGTCACATTTTATTCGTCACGTACTTGTCAACTTCTGCCAGCAAGGACAGTTTATATTTGAAGCTTAAACGGAGCTTAAGCGAAAGTTATTTAATAAATCTGATGATTACCTGATGGATTTCCCGATGAAATTCTTCTAATCATCAGACAACTGCTATATTCTGTTTGCTATGCGATTATGCCAATGTGTTCTTTTTTTTTTTNTTTTTTTTTTTGAAAGAAAATTTGAAGCCTTTGAAAGTTTATGCAGCAGCACTAGCGATATGATTAATTTGTTTGAACTCAATTCTCTCAGGATTTAAATCGGTTTTATCAAACAAAACAAATTTCTGCACATTTCAGTCTACCTACTTGCAATTTCTGACATTTGCTGTTCCATTGCTATTCACAAGCAGTGTGATTGATCTCAACGTGTTTCAGTAATAATATTATGCTAATCTCAAATTTTTGTTCTCGTGTATTCTTATGAATTCTTGGAGCATACGATTTCTTGAATCGATGCTTCACTGCATACTGCATTGATCTGATATGACCTATAATTTCCATGCTGTTCATATCATCGCATTGTTGACTCAAACTTGAACTATGCATTTTCCACCACCGATTCATGATGTCGCTCAACTGAAATGGATCGGTGATATTCATTTGCAAGCAATCAACACAATCGGTTCTGCGAATGTCACGTAATTTGCGGTTGTTTTGATCAGTTCCTAGTTGTTATCTGATCTGTATTCGTAATCTGTTATGTATTCACGAGCACCAACGAATCGGCGTCGAATGAAACATTTCACGGACAGAGACGATCCTGGAGCTGCGTTGATTGCCTTCTCACGCTCATTCAAGAAGATACGTCGAACGAAAACCACGAAAGCTCGACGCAGACTTCACTTGTCGGCTCGTTGGAAACGTGCGCAAAGTCTGCCGAATCTTTGCGATCTGCTAGACGTTGTCTCGAAATACTATCAATGTCGAGAGCCACCACCACCACCACCAGCACGTTTCGAGGCGATTTCAGCGCGTGTGCTACACGGCTACTCGAAATGTGGCGGCCAACGCCGCAACCGCAATCGTTCGAATTCTCTGTTCACAAGCGCTCTACAGTTGCCCTCGTCGCGTATAGTGCTTCAGGATGGTGGTTTTTTCACAAAACAATACTTGTCGGCTCATTTGGAAGTGGATGATCGCCAAGAGTTAGCGCTGAAAGTTAACGGCGGTCCGAGACTACATCCAATTGATGCCCTCTCGGGGTATGGATTCGCATTCTCCGGATCGGTTGAGAATGAAAATCGGTCAAGTCAGCAATTGAATGTGAATTGCGCAAACAAACCGTCACCAACTCCTCACAAAGTCAGTGTTCGAGAGGTTTACAACAAAGACAAGGTCTGTTGTACCGATTCTGATCACTGCTAAAACCCTCTCCTCTTTCAGCTAGATTCCTTCAACAATTCCATTCACTTCACTCGTTCAAAAGCTGTCTTATAATAAAATCACTTGCTGTCATGAGCGAATGTTCCATGCCACCTGCGTTCATTTGATCTCTAATTTACGAAAATTCTGATCTTATTGTTAGCAAAGGGAAAATCACCATAATTAAGTATATATTAACATCAAATTCTGAGATGTTCATGGGATTTTGCAGTTCCGTTATAATGATCACCTAATAGCACAATGAAAGAGCGAGCTATCATCATTTACAAATGAATCAAGTGCGATCTTATCTGCCTCACGCTTGAACTGACAATCCGTAGATAAATGTTACCGTTTCTAATGCGAGTATATTGATTACAGTACTAAATAAATCGAGTATATTGCAGTAATATTACAGTCGTAATAAATAAATTAAACAGAACAACGAAACTTCAACAAATCTCATCAATATCGATAATAATTGCAATCGTAGTGATAACTACAATAGTTT